AACCATCCTTAAAAAAGGGATACAGGAGGAGTCAGGCAAGAGGCAGTGCCCTGACAGAAGCAGAGGGACAGAGAGAAAGAGATTTGCAGATGCTGTATCAGTGGCCTTGCAGATGGAGGAGGGGACCTCTGGAAGCTGGAGCCTCCAGAAGGGAACAGCCTGCTGACTGCAGCTCAGGGAGGCTGACTTTGGACTTACGGCTTCCAGAACTGTAGGAGATTAAATCTGTGTTGTCTTATATCATGATATCCATGTGTAATCTGCTACAGAGGAACTAATGCAGAAAGTGATGCTTTTGTGGGGGGTCCGAGGTAACCCACTAACCCCAAAGATGTCGGGGTTTCCCTGCCCCCTCCAGTTTCAAGATGGAACTAGCTCTCAGCAAAGACCCCTGTCCCTGGAGTATAAAATCAAATCTTTAGTTGTGAAATTTGGTCAGGACCCAGGCACAAAGCTGAGGTGGGCGGTCAGCTACAGAAGCTGTTTTTTTGTTTTTTTTTTCTCTGAGTTAGAGCTCATTAAAAACGAATCAGATGAGATGGGGTGCGTTCAGGGAGTTCGTCATACTAAGTGAAGTAAGCCAGACAGAGAAAGACAAATACCATACGATATCACTCATATGTGGAATCTAAAAAAAAAATGACAAATTTGAACTTATTTACAAAACAGACATAGACTCACAGACATAGAAAACAGACTTACGGTTACCAGCGGGGAAGAGGGGGTATGGAGGGATAAAGTGGGAGTTTGGGATTTGCAGATACTAATTACTATATATAAAACAGATAAACAACAAGGTGCCACTGTATAGCACAGGGAACTATATTCAATACCTTGTAATAGAAAAAGAACATGAAAAAGAATATATATGTATAAAGGTATATATTATATATATATAAAGGTATATATTATTATAAACACACACACATAACTGAATCACTATGCTGAACACCAGACATTAATGAAACATTGTAAACCAACTATACTTCAATTAAAAAAAAACAATTAGAGAAGAAACAGTCAAACGGGGCCTCTCCTCCACCCCTTAGATATAAGCCAACAAATTACAGAACCTGCCACGTGCCAGGTGCGTTCTAAGACCTCTATGTGGATTAACTCATTTACTCCTTACAATAGCCCTAGTAGCATCTCATGTGACAGAGGAAACCGAGGCAGAGAGAGGAGAGCCCTGCCCAAGGTCACGGCTCAGCCTGGCAGTCTGGCTCCAGGGCCCATGTCCTAACTCCCTTCTTCTCCCTTTTTCTTCCTCTTGAGTTGCAGGTTATTCCACACCCTGTATTTCCCCTCCCAGCCTCTTCCTAGATGCCCAATTAACAAAATTTAATAATCTTCCTGACCTGCATCTGTCCCTGTGGCATTCGAGGCGCCTGGGAAAGGCTATCTCTTATTATAAGCTAAGTCTTGGGTTTGGTTCCCCCACCCCAGCTCCTCCCTCCACCCTAACTGCTTTTGACACCTGACTGCGGGCTCTGCTGTTCTCTAGCTGTGCAGCCTCGAACAAAGAGCTTAACTTCCTGAAACTCCAGTTTCCTTCCCTGCAAAATGGGGGATCCACAGCCTTCCAAGGTCGTTGAGAGGATTCAGGGATGCGCACATCCAATATGTATCAGAGCTCCCAGCATCTCATAAGAGCAAATGGAAGTCCCTTTCCCGCACCCAGGAACCAGCCCGCTCACAGCCACTAATGCACCATAGGAACATGCCTGTCATGACTCAAAAATCAGCTGGGATCACTGACTGCCAAGAGTCCCAGGTGCCCAGACTGCCAAGCTCTGAGCCTCCAGCCAGAGGCTGGACCAGCGAGCGCAGCCCTGGGTCCACCCTGCTTGGGGCCACGGGGCAGAATGGGAGGGGGAGCCTATCCTAGTACCGTTCACAAAAGCCAAATACCTTCCTGTAAATAGAAGCAGGAAGGGACTTGGTGAAGGATTTGAGCGGCTAAGATAAAAAGGAACTTTAATCACCTTTCCTTGAAGGAAAAGCCATTCCTTAATCACGTGGCGCTATTTGCAGGCCACTCCTTATTCCACTGGCCCATGTGAGATAAAATTTCTCCTGGGTACTAAAGCAAGGAAAGTCACTTCCCCACATTCCTAGCCAGGCCATGGCTATTCTCAGGGATTTTCAACAAAGAGGGGTAGGTCATCTTCTGTGTTGGAGCCTAGCTGGTCACCTCCTCAGGCACCTCCAAGAAACAGCAAGTTGAAGGGCAGGCAGGAAGGGCACGCCCACCTCCTTCCAACATGATGGGGGTCCTCCTGCCTGGCCTGCTGGTCTACTGAACTAGCGTGTGACACTCTAGAGCGTTCACCTGTCTCATCTCTGCTAGTGCTGCTCCGTCCACCTTGGATGCCACCTCTTCTCGATCTGGAGAATTTCTCTCTTTTTTTCAGGTGGTGAAATTTACATCATGTAAAAGTTAACCACTGTAAAGTGAATAACTCCGTGGCACTGAGCACATTCACAGTGTTGTGCAACCACCACTTCTATCTGCTTCCAAAATATGTTCATCATCCCCTAAAGGCAAACCCATCCACATTAAGCAATCTCTCTGCATTTCTCCTTCCCTCCAGTCCCTGGCAACCGCCAATCTGCTTTCCACCTTCTCTGGATTTGCCTATTCTGGATATTTTATATAAATGGAATCATACGTATGATATGTGACCTTGTGTGTCTAGCTTCTTTCAATCAGCATTGTGCTTTATCCACAATATAGCATGTACTTCATCCCTTTTTATGGCTGAATAATATGCCATTGTATGTATGGACCACCTGTCATTTATCCGTTTATCAACTGATGAACATCTGGGTGGTTTCCACTCTGGCTATTGTGAATAATGCTGCTGTGAACGTGTATGCATTATACTTGTTTGAGTCCCTATTTTCAATTCTCTTGGGCATAAACCTAGGAGTGAGATTGCTGGATCACATAGTAGTTCAATGTTTATTTTTTTGAGAAACCGCCAAATTGTATTCCACAGCAGCTGCACCATTTTACATTTCCACCAGCAATTCACAAGAATTCCAATTACTCCACATCCTCAACAACACTTATTATTTTCTAGATGATGTTGTTGTTGTTGTTGTTTTAATAATAGCCATGCTAGTGCGTGTGAACTAGTAACCTCGTCATTAACCTGTGCAACCTTGACTCATCCTTCTGCACCAAGGTTTCATGCCACCATTGATTTGAAAACTTCCCTGACTTTATAACCTCACCCCTAAAGATTAACTACCCAGGTTCTGTGGTCATGCCCCATATGCCGGCATCTCCCTGAGAGGCTGTAAACTCCTCGAGGGCATGACTGCATCGTATCCATTTTTGTATCTCTAGTCTCAGCACAAGGCCTGGCACACAGCGGGCACCCCAAAAACATCTTCAGCTCAGCCAGCCTCCAAGCTGAGATTTCCACATTAACAGCTCACCAGCTGAGAGGCAAAAGATGGCTTTTTTGTACTCAACTGGGACCAGGAAGAGAGATGATTCCTCCAAGCATGACTCTAAGCCTGAAAATCCCAACTTCATAGTTTTTATTAATCTATTTTACCACTGCCTGCTTGCATTCTGCTCCCAAAGCTGCTGACATACCTTTACAGAAGATGATAAACCTGAGTTTCTAGGTGTGGAGACTGGTCAGTTTCAGCTATGGTAAGAGGCCACTGGAGGACACAGAAACTGGACACTATATCAGATGGGGCCCCTGGCCTTTGGCCAAGACAGAATTAGTTTTGTGATTTTCTGCTGGGTGGCCTTGTCCAGCCTCAGGAACCAGAGGCAGCAGTAGCTTCAAGTGTTTCTGGGCAGGAGCATCTGGGAACTGCTTTTGGGCCTCCATCTCTGAGGAGGAAACTGCCATTTTATCCCATATTCAACTCCCTCTCTTCCTTCCTCTGTCTGTCTCTCCCCTGCCCCACTCCTCCCCACCCCTCAATGCAAATGACAGTGTTTGCCGGGCCCAGAGCACAAAGATAGCTGCTTGGGAGAAAAGTAGATTCCACAAGTGCATATTTACCGATTGTTGAGCTTCCAGGCCCTGGAGATCACCTTGGGGATATTTGGGGGAATAATTCAAACATTTCTCAGCTAGTGGGATAATGTTGCTCGGAAATAGATAAACTGGGCTTCAATTCCCTGTACTTTCCAACTGGGTCACCTTCTACAAGTCACCTATCCACACTAATCCCTCAGTATTCCCATCTGTAAAACAAAGACACTGATTTCCGTCCCACCAACTACACAAGGGAGTGGTAAGACATATCTAGAACAAGAACCACCTTGATAAGCGATCCTTGGGAAAGTTACTAACCCGCCGGCACCGCGGTAGCAGTTCGGAGCGGCGCGCAGGGAAGCCGATGTAGTTTCTGTCACTCCCCGCAACTTACTTTGCCCCGCTTCCCCAGTTGACAGAGTGAACAGTTTCGGGGCTCTAGGAGTATGCCACCCGGCGAGGGGGTGGGCGTGGGGGGCCGCAGGGGCGCAAGGCAGCGCGGAGAGACTGAGACAGACCGTGGGGACCCGGCTCCAGGTCCCGGGAGGGCGCCGCGCGTTCCCTGATCCCCAGGGGCAGTGGGGAGCTCCTACCTTGCCGTACTTCTTCAGCTTCTGCCGGTACCTCTTCTTGGGCTTCTCGCCCGGCGCCGACTCCTCCAACGGCTCGTAGCGCTCGGGCAGGACGGCGAGGTGCACCCTCCGCGCGGCCCGGGCCCCCGGGCGCGGCGCCCGCTTCCCGGTCTCCGCCGCCTCCGCCCCGCTCTCCAGATGTTCCAGGATAGCAGTCGCCTCCTCGTCCCCCTCTGTCCGCC